TTATTGTTATTATTATTATTATTATTATTATTATTATTTAAACGATGTTGAGAAGGAAAGTGACGGCTAGGAGGAGGAGGACGACAGTAAAAGCGCTAGTGACAAAACTAGCGGTAATAATAATAATTACAGTAACAATAACAATAATAATAGTAATAATAGTAATAATAATAATAATAATAATAATAATAATACAATAATAATAATAATAATAATAATAATAATAATAATAATATAATAATAATAATAATAATAATAATAATAATAATAATATAATAATAATAATAATAATAATAATAATAATAATAATAAGACAATAATAATAAATTAATTTTGAGATTTTTCGGAATCAGATGATAAACAACTAATAATTAACAGTTAGCAATTAATAATTAATGATTGACAATTAATTACTAATAGTAATCTTGATGATAATGAGAATGATGATAATGATAATGATGAAGGTAAGGGTAATAATAATAGCAATAATAATATTGACAATAATAATAGTAATAGTAATAGTGTGACGACGATAATGCCATCACTAATATGACTGGTACTAAGAGCAGAAGATAAATGAAACTGAAGAATAGGAAAGATAATAACGATTATAGAATTGTGATGGTAGTGACAATGACTATAAAAGTTGTGAGTAATGGTGTAGTAACGGCATTGTTCTTTACTTTCAGGCTTGATAAAATCTCTGCACTGCTGTTCACGAAATTGAATTCTAACATTTAAGCTTTTTTAAAAGCATTTTTTATTGACAGGAAAAGCTTGTTTTTTCGTCAGAGCAAGAAATATTTACAGGAGTAGAACTAGTGATGACTGTCCTCAGCAGTGAAGAGATCTTACAGAAGAGAAGAGATATAAACTAGCTAGATAGTCACAATAAGAATTATTTTCTTCGGTTTCGAAAGACAGTCAGAAGAAATCGTACAAAAATTCAAAATTCGCTAGACATCTTCTTCCGCAAGGCTTAGCACAGGTCTGGGTATTCTTTTTGAATCTAGACAAAAATTGTCCGCTAAAGAACCCTATAACCGGATGGAACTTTCTGTTATATGAATTTTTCTCCTCTTCAGACTACTTTCACTCACAACTTCTGATTTCATCTATTTTCTAGCAAACTGTGTAGTTTTAGGTTTTTTTGATACGATGCTGTTCATCCAATCTTAAAAAATTATTTGATAAGATTTACAAAAAATAAAAAAAGATAATGAACGTTAATAGTCAATTACTATTTTTCTCACTGCTCGAAGTTCCTGTCTTGTTACTCTTCCGTTGCATCAATACAAACTTTTTAGTCGACTTGGACCCACTACATCACGCGGAATATAAAAACTTGCTTTCATATGCTGTATAAGATACTACTGTACGCACTGTAAACTGACATTACAAACGGGCTCTGCAAGGTCGACCTGTATTTTCAATATTATGATGCGACAACTGCGCTAGAGAAAAACGCAACTGCATCGTACAGTATAATCTACAAAATTAGTGATATGCAGCTGCTGATGGCATCGGCGAAGATGATGATAATGGCAGCTGGCTTTCTAGTTGCTATTGTCTATTAAAATCAATAGTTCCTATGGCTTACGTTGAAGGTCCGAGTTAAAACAAAATAACAGCGCCCTTCCCAATTCTCGAAATATTTACTTAAGAAACAAGCCTTTTACTAAATACCTTTTTGAGTAAACTTGATTATCAGATTCAAAATTTACTTACTGCAACTTCGTCTATCGTTCAAGCATCCACTTTAACTCATAAACGTTGTTCAAAGAAAAAAAATAACGCAGCTTTTAAGGAGAGAATTATTAAGCCTACGGAAAGAGATAAAAACGTCTGAACTTTTTCTAATTTCAGTTTATCTGACAAATCTGTGTACATTTGCATGCATTGTATTAATATATATATAAAAAAAAAATATATATATATATATATAATAAAAAAGTGTAACTATAAACTACCCCACCGAATATTCATTGAAGGAAGCTACGCCATTTTGGACTTTCTAAAAGGTATGAGCTAAAAGTGAAAGACGTAGGTTGAATCTGTTTTGCTGTTTATCTCGTCAAAAATTTTTTTCTTTCCTTTTCATCAAATTCAATCGACATACTGAAGCAGATATTAATATATAACTAGCAGGCAAGACCGAAGAGGAACTACGTCATTGGTAATATCGACTAAGGCCGCATTGGTGGATGAAGCGTTTGAGTTTCAGTGAGAACGAGTAAAGTAGCGAGGAATGCACGCCAGCAGCATCGCCACTGAGAAAG